AAAGCGAAGTCTTTGTAAGTTATATCCCATAATAAAAATTTGAATTTGAATTTGGGGCTATAAATGAATCTTTTCGTATCTAGGATAGGCCGGTTATTCTACTCAATAAACCTCTGTGGATAAGAATAAGGACTGTTTTGTAGGATTTGACAGACGAATCTCATTATCATTCGAAAAGTTTCAGCTGCAAACGTTTTCTGGGTTTCAAAGTCCTATGCATCTCCGTAGATGTGATGATCGTTGGAACCACTGGAATCTGCGCTGGTTCGATTTTGTTAACTTTTCGGGTTAATCCATTCGCTTTTTAAGCTCACGAGGCTCCTCACCATTGCACGACGTTTTTCAATCTAATGCACTCCCTGACTGTTTTATGCTGGTTGGGACATGTGCTACGCATGTCACTAGATAGGTTGCCACGGCGAACGATGTTTGCCAAGGCTGGTAGCGATTGGAATAAACGAAGAGCGTTCAAGCTAAGACTTGGCATGAGGGTATGAAAACCCTAACCAGGAGACTAGGTCACATAGGCCCCGTTAGGCTCCCTGGGGACCTCGAGATGATGGTCACCGATGGCTAGCTACACTGAGCGATATGGTCGGGTGTCGCAAACAGTGGCGCTCGTGCATCCACTCGTTATTTTCCTAACACCACTCTATATGTATTCCCTATCTTCCGCTTGAATTTGCTTTGGCATTCCAATATCATTTCGGTCTTTTATCCAAATGGGCAACCAAAACCGGCTCACGAAAGTGCATGGTTAATGGTTGTAAAAACTGAAACTGAAACTTATGCGAAGTGTGTCCCATGTGGTAAAATCCAGATACTTTAGCCTCACGAACTCTGTTAGATTCTTTCCATCTAGCATCGTGCAAACAAAATTCAGAATGACTTGCAACATATACAAACATGTTGATGAAGCTGAGGCTCCACATTCAGAGTGTATCACCTACTCTAATCCAAATGAATTACGTAATTTCGTTTCACTCAGATTTGTCAGTCGTCCAAGTTACAGGTCGAAGTAAGGTAGTGAAATATCTAGTTTTGTGAAGCATTCGATACGAAATCACATCAGGAAACGGGGTTGGATACTTGATTATCGTTATTTTTCTTCTTTGCTGCCCTCAGTAGTACAGTTACTGGTGGTGATAAATGAAAAACCCACTCCGACTATAACTGTTCCGCAAACATTTCTCTAACCCCTGAGAATCATATTCACAACCTTCAACGTACAATGAGAAAAATAGATAACCTGGTTTTCATGTGCAATGCTCTGTTGACCTCCATTCACATGGTACCATATACCTGGTAGTGTTCGGCCTTGTGCAGTTAGTGGAAGAGTACAGCGAAGGATACTTCGATGTCGGCGACGGAATAAATTTGCAACCTCATCAGTCCTGGTGTAAGAATGTTTCAATTTCATTTTTTAAACCAATAACCATTCTCTTTAGTGCGTCAGTTTTGGTTGCTACCCCACGGCTTCCCATTTATATGGAGGAATGAAAGAAAGACTGAATTTTTCAAANGAAAGACTGAATTTTTCAAATCGGTGTAGAGAGTGAAATGTGCCGTGCCAGTTAAAAATGCACACCAAGGTGAGCATTGTAAACGCAAGACATCCGTTCCAAATTCGTTGGGTGAACAATTGACATCGAAAGGCGGACTTGTTGTGCCATTGAAATAAAACTTAATGGGGATATATATGCAATATATGCACTGTTTTTGGTTTATCTGAACAAATATGGTTTCTAAATGCGATAGAATTCCTGGTGACGACTGACAAAGAGCACTGGATTGCTGTTTCATCCTGTTTGGGACGAGTTAGGTTTATGTGCACATTTTTTGTCCAAGTCATGAATCGAACTGCAAATCTCCGGAGTCAGGGTACAACATCCTTACCCCTGAGCTACACAGTCGACGATCATCATAATATGCAAATGGTTCAAACAGTTTAGATGGTGAAATTTTGGAAAACCGTATTCCGGTTTTCACAGACACCAGGCACTGTTGATGGCATGCGAGTGAAACCCACACCCGTAACCGTCGATATTGCGGTTGCCTGTGAAAAACCGAATGTGCTAATCCAAATATTAACCGTCTAAAAGATATGGTTTCATTAGATAATACATAAGTAGAACAAGAAGACAAATCAGCAAACAAATCCAGTTTTCAGAGCCACATCAATCGGCACAGTTTCTGTTTTGGTCTTTGCAACCATGAACCAACTGCCGAAATAAGTTAATCCCATCCAGAAAAGATACTGTCCCAAAATTACTGAGTAAACAAGCCCAATCGTTCATCAGGTGCACATACTTTGCAAGTGATGCGGGCATTCGATTCGCATTCAGTTCTTTGCTCTTTGTGCTAACCAAAGACAGAGTGCCCTCGGATGTGATCTCATTTGCCATCATCAATTCACCTGCTCCCGTGGGGCAATTTTATGTGCATCAAACGATAAAACATCTACCTGATTTCACCGCAGAGTGTCACACCAACTGGTTGAAGTATGGATTACCGACAATCAAAGCTACGTCACTTACGAAGCGATTGGCCGAGTTTGATCACACAGTCAGTGTGCGGGAGGCTTACTGTCCTCTCTACAAGGTCAGACTAAGTTAATCCAAAGTGATGAAATCTCGAAATTTATCAATATTATCCTTCAATTGACACCCATATTCATACTTCCCTTATTAGACCAGAAATATTTTGAGAGAACAGTGGTCTCGAAATGGCCATCACTTACAATATATAGCCTGGGGTGACCTCCGTTTGAGGAGTCGCACACACCAGCTTACTCACTCAATCCCAGCCATCGCTTCTTCATTCACAAGCACACAAAAACCACACAATTACACCATCCAATTCCAAAGTCCGAATATCAACTATGTGTCTCCTCTTACCACCTGTTTATCTTATCATACAATGAGTTGCATTTGGCCAGTTGGTTTAGCACCGAAAACAGGCTTATTAGTAACCTGCCTTTCTATGCTCACTCAACTGGGAATATTTCAGTATAAGCAGTTATACGTAAACAAGAGTACCTTGTGCCTCTGAACAATCTAATGGGCTAATCGAAGCTTGATATTGTAAACGTTATATGTATAGTTTTTTATCACCGGCTTGCGAACAAGCATGGTATCAACGCAGCAACATTATTTTCAGAAATCGGAGGTGTGATGACAGAACAGAGTGAATGAGGGTCAAATAGTTATAGTGGATAACAAGAACATTTTTCGCTGTATACCCTTTGATATTTTTTTGCGTGTTAGTTTATCATTTTTTACGTAGGACAAAAATAAAAACGATCTTAAATATTTATCGGCCATTGTGTATTGCAAAGAAATTACATAGAGTTTCTCATTTGCTTGCGTGCATTGATGGGAATAGTTACCGTGAGATAAAATCTCTTGTCTCTGCAAATGCATTCCCAATTGTATCACCCGATCATTGAGCTCTCCTCTCCGACGGGATGCCCGTCGAACGCAGATTTAGTCTAAATGCCGTCTGGTGGAATCAGCAAACATTTTGCATAGTGCACTGTGTTTCTGTGCTCCACTCTTGTCTGTGAGCTAACTCTGAGTGAAACAAACCGTGATTGGGGTCGTGAAGCTTTCATACTGACCAGTACAAACGAGGGAATCTGCTTAGGGCTCGGTATTCCGATAGCCAAATTCTTATTCTCAAGCTAGCCAGACTATGGGAGACCAGACGGTAGGATAAAATTGCATAGTAAAATTCTGTTCTGTATTGCTCGCATGTTATATTTTTGTCTGAATCACATTCATTTGCACGTTTTTGTTAATTTCATGTATATTTCAACGTGCTCTCGTTTTCAGCGTCTCTCCTCAGGTCGGGTCGTACGGCAAATAATCTATGTGCCCAATTCATTCGATTCGATTGTGTCCACCTATTACAGAGACCGACGACTGGAACGGATTGAGAATTTCTGTTCTTGTCACGTGCGTCTGTTAAGTCCGACTCATCCACGTGCTGCAATGTGTCCTCCGGGTTGTCGCACGCTAGAAGTCAATTTCGACCCAGTACGAGGGCGATATCTCGGATTTCATGATTTGCTCAGTCGTTGTGTGCACCCCAAGCGACGTATGTCTCGAGTAGCGCTTACAGTAGTGCGACATCCAAACGGTAGTGAGACCCAAGTTCAAACACACGAACTAGCTCGGTTGGATCTGATCGGGCCTCGGCCTCGTCTAGTTGAGATTCGTGCCGACATGTGTACGAAACCAAAATTATCAAACTATCAGAAGGGTGCTGTATTTATCACAGACATATTATCAGAACCGGCTGGCTCTGCATGACGTGCATTCGATTGGGCCGTTTCTGCTCCAAAGATTTTTGATGATTACAAAAGGTTATCTGAATGTTCGCCTTATCTTATCTTTTTTATTCAGTTTTCACCTCTTTGCCCTTAAACTTACCGACGATGTTTCAGTTTTTGGTTCTATCTCAATTTTCTATTGATTCCATTCATCACTGCTCGTTTTTTCTGTTAAATTGCAAGCTTCATTTTTGATGCTATTATTCTTTTTTTCTAATTCCGATTCCCTGGTCGGGGTTAAAATCACCAAACCTAGTGACACGTATATGTGTGTCCTGTACGCACTCACCTCTTGCGGAAGCTTACAAAAGATTTCTGTGTTTCAACGCTTGAATTAAAACAAATCGAACAAGGTTAAAGTAGTGTGGTAATCTGTACTTGGTATCAGAAATCGAATGGCAATAATCCGCGCAATTAAGCTCCAACCGAACTAGTACGCAGTATGAAAAAGAACTCCAGAATATTCTAAGTCAGATTGTATTACGCGCCGAAATTGTACAAAGCAATCGATCATGTAATGAAACAAGAATGTTCAGTTTATACACAAACACCACATCCACCGCAGCTTGAATGAAGCTAGGGGTTATTGTAATCAAGTCTCTCTGTGAGACGCAAGCGTTCGGATCTTCGAGGATTTTCAACAAAACTCTCAGAAAGTTCATTTGAATGGTTTTCATCTGACATAGACTCAGGAATAAAAGGATTAGAGCATTGAGAATTGGGAGTATTACAAATGATTTGGTCACTATATCTGCGATGGACTGACCCGTCATCTAAGTCAAGGAGTTGATACATTCTTTGACCAATCTGGTTCAACACCACTCCTCTTGAAGGACGTAGATCATTTCCACTATAACAAATCACTTCAGCTGATTCCAGATTGAGAAGATTGGTACCTAGTATACAATTTTTGAATAATTTGGCCGGACCGCTCCCAGTAGCAGTATGAGTTGAGTTTCTGAACTGCATGAGGAAATTATCAACACCCCTGTCTAAATCAGTGAAAGTAGAGATGTGGCAGGATGCAATTGCACTTTTCAATGTCCGGACGAAGTTTTCTGCTGCACCATTCGACTGTGGCTGTCGAGGTGAAGTTAGGACATGTCGACAGCCAATGAATTTCGACCAGTCCGTCACGCTCTTCGCTGTGAAGTGATACACCATTGTCAGTGACGACAGCTTGTGGAACACCCTCCCGACTGAACGTCTTCCGGAAAGCAGTTATAGTGAATTCTGCGTTGGGTGACGTAGTGAAATAAACCTCAAGCTATCGTGAATAAGAGTCAATAATCACTAGGGCGTGGTATTTGTTTAAGAAGGGACCACAGTAATCGGCATGAACTCGCTGCCACGGTTCAGAAGACATTGCCCAAGGAATCCACTTAGATGGTTGTGTGCGCGCTTTGTGGATGCAGTCAGTACATGATCTGGCCACTCGACGAAAATCACTGTTAAACTCCGGCCACCAGCAGGTCAAACGTGCAAGTGATTTCATTTTCTCAATACCGAGATGTCCCGAATGCAAGTCACTCAGCACTGCGGGGCGTAAAGATGGAGGAATGATTGTTCGGTCATTGAGACATAATATTCCATCACAAGTTACTGAGAGTTCTTCACGGCGTTTATACAACTCGGGAACCGGCGCTTGGTGCCAGCTCGCCAACTGTGTCGAACACAAGAAATGACTGCATGATAGTACTTCTTTGTCTCTCGGACTAGGTCGGATCGACTAACAGGAAGTGGTTGTATCAGCAAACAATCAGATGTACCAGGCACCTCTGATAAGGCATAACGCGATAAATAGTTCACATGTTGAATCATATGAGGCTTGCGATGTTGAATATCGTAAGAATAACCGGCTAGTGTGATGCTCCATCACTGTACCATGGCCGCTGATGACCTTACCAGAGATCGGTGGGGATTGTAGATGAACTTCAATGCCTCGTGGTCCGATATAATTGTGAAATGTGAGCCATATAAGTACTTGTGCAATCGAATAACAGCCCAGTATACTGCAAGAGCCTCTCTATGTGTTTGGGAGAAACCACTTTCAGCATGAGTGAGTCTGCGAGAAATGCATAGAACTGGATGACCGTTCTGCTCCAACACTGCTGCAATGCCAACTGGTGATGCGTCTGTAATTNATGTGCTTTGGGTGAAAAAGCATGTAAAACTGCATCAGTGGAAAGAAAACTTAGTAAGTTTCTAAGGGTGATTTCATGAATACGTGTCCATTGAAATGTTCGCTGTAAGACAAGTGTGAACAATGGTTCTGCTTTTGTGGCAAAACCTGGAATGAATCTAGAATAATACTGAAGTACACCGAGTAATGAACGAAGTTCTTCAACTGACTTGGGAGAAGGTGCGTTAGAAAGAGAAGAAAAACGAGTAGGATCAGGACGGAAACCATGTTCATCAACAAGAAAACTCAAACAGGAAACTTTTGATGTAGAAAATGTACATTTATTTGCATTAATAGCAACATTATGGATATTGAACTGTTCAAGCAGCAAGCACAGACGCTTATCATGCAGTTCTTTGTTTGGTGCATGCACGATAATGTCATCTTGGTAAGCTGAAACTCCCTCCAAACCAGAAATAAGAGAATTCACAACATTCTGAAATATAGCAGGTGAAACACTAAGCCCAAGTGGTAAAAAGTCATAACGAAATAGACCAATCGGTGTGTTATTGTGGTCAATGCACTAGAATTCTCATCAAATGGTACCTGAAGAAATGCATCCTTAAAATCTAGTTTGGAAAAGAACTTTGATCCCTGAAATTGATGGAGGATGTCTTCGGGTTCAATGGTTGAGCAGCTAGTTTGCTTTAAGTATCTGTTGACTGTGATACGGTAATCCCCACAAATTCTGGGTGTTTTACCATCACGTTTCAATGAAACCACAATAGGGGTAGCCCAAACAGAATAATCTACAGGCGTTAATACACCCTTCTCAACTAAATCGTCTAAAACTTTCTTTACAGGTTCACGGATACCCAATGATATGATTCGACGTTTCAGAAATTTTGGGGAACCATCCACTTCCAAGTGGATTGGGGNGGCCATTTTAATTCCACCTTTATTGTTGGAGCATTTGAGAACCAACTGACGTAGTCGAGACTGTTAATCATCAGCGAAAAATGAAAGAGAAATTTCCATGTGTTTCATAGAATTGAGGCCAATAATAGAAATGTTGGAGTCAATAACAAGAAAGAAACAATTGAATGTGTGCTGTTCATCATCAGTAAGGAGTAGTTCACACGAACCCAAAACAGGAAGGTTATGGCCAGGTATACCTTTAACCGAAATTTCAGTTGTGTTTAGATTCACACGTGGTTTCAAACGCTGAAGAACAGTCTTTGAACTAAACGAATTTACACTACCTGTGTCTATGATGAATGAATGACGAAAACAATGATTACGAATGTACGAGTAATGTGTTGAGAGTGGTTGGAACTGTTAACGGATAAAGCAAGAGACTGAAAATCGGTAGACTAGCATGAATCAGGGACTGAGCTCTGTGTCAAACAGTTACGTGTGCTCCGACAAACAGACTTGATGTGTCCAGACTTACCACACTTGTGGCACTTGGCATTGCGAAATTTACAAGTCAGTCGAGAGTGTCGCCTAGCGCATGATTTGCAAGGGTTCCAGTGGCGGATGTCATTATTTGCAGATTGTGTGGACGTCGGATTGTGATTAACAGCTTTGTTAACACTTTTGAACTGCCGCGTCTAGTGAGCTTCAAGCGCCGAACCACGATTGTGACTGAACAATACTTTCGGCTCCTCACGTACATCCGGGTATTGTTCACGGACCACCTTCGCGGTTTGAAATGTACAGTTTGGAATCAACAAGAACTGCTGCTGTAGCTCAGAACAGTTAATTCCAGCAATGAGTCTATCAATGAGCTGAGTTTGAAGATGATCTTTGGAATTACAGCGCGCGGCCTGAGTCTGCAGCTGAAGAAATAAGTCTCGGACAGACTGATTAGGATCACGAGCAAGGCAATGGAATTTCGTTGGCTCAGCTGCCTCGAAGTTGGCTGGCTGGAAATGCTTTAGTAATAAATCGTTGAGTTCTTCATACTTCAGTTGTATTGGTGACTCTGGGAATGCCAAAATTTTAATCAGCGTATAAGATTCCTTTCCAAAAGCAGAGAGAAAATGTGCCGTCTTCTTCTCGGCATCCAGACTCTTGCGGGTGAGACACCAAATCTCAAAAAGCTCCAAATAATCTTCCACATAACGTGAATTCGAAAGAATATCAAGAATTTCCAAGTTGCGGGTGTCCATAATGAGATAAAAGCCGGCCACAACGCCAACTGTGGCAGTCTGTACTTGGTATCAGAAATCGAATGGCAATAATCCGCGCAATTAAGCTCCAACCGAACTAGTACGCAGTATGAAAAAGAACTCCAGAATATTCTAAGTCAGATTGTATTACGCGCCGAAATTGTACAAAGCAATCGATCATGTAATGAAACAAGAATGTTCAGTTTATACACAATCACCACAAGTAGCCATTCAGAATATCACGTCAATGGCTCCAAAGGATGATGTTATTTGTCTACCCTGCTAGTGCTTGCTCACTATTCAGCCGATAACTCAAACGTGTAACCAAAGTGAATACGACATAGTGAACAAAATGGACTAAGAGAGAGAAATGTCCGTTGAAGGAGGTGCCCAATTTAGTGTTGCTGATATTGTTTGCAAACGACGATTACTTTCTGTGGTATTGATCGATCACTTGAAGTGCTATTCAAGGTGGCGTTTGTGCTCATGTGTTTGAAACACCCTGAATCGTCCATAGCTGACGAATTTTCGAATCTCACAGATTGCAAACACGCAATCGGTAGAAACTGATAGTGCTTGTAAGTATCATGCCTCCGTGTGTCAATCAGTGATCGACAATCTGTTTTTTTCTCGCAAGAAGTGAATGAAGGTGCTCGTTTAACCATGCGCAATCAATCATTATTTACTTGTAATCAACGCTGAGATAAGAAAATGTGATTTTCAGACTTAAATACAGATTATATTCTTTCCTTAAATTGACAGTTGTTCGATTTGGCACTCTTCAGCGTAGAGGCAATGGAAATTTCTCAGTTATCAGTTCAACCATGTCCAAATCTCGTGCATAGTAAGTGTGCACCTGAGTAAGTGCAACCATGTTGACGGATAATAAATAACGGGACACCTAATTGTACCAAATTCGAAAAAAATGCAAGTCCTAATTGTTTTGCAACCAATCCCAGGAAATTAGGTCTAAACAACTGACCACTTTGCAGAATAATAGGCCTTGTCGTATTTAAAACGGGTTTCTTCAGGTTTTTCTTTGTTCACTGCTAAACTTTCCAATCCCTGATCTATTTCAAGATCGAACTGATACACATATTAATATCTTCAAATTGAATTACGGTGAAAATCTGTTTGGTGTGCTCAACAGAGAATGGCGAATAACCGCACGAAATCTCACTTTCGATGCCAAATCCGGAAAGAGTGTTGAACCGCATAAAGGAAATATGTATACATAGATACATCATTAATGATGAGGTGAGCCTCGGAAGGACTTGATGACGAAATGCAGAACCACTGAGTACAAACCGGTGACTGATTTACACTATTCACACCCGCTGCGCATTATACGACCTCCGTATTTATAAATAAATGTTTCTAGAATTGTTGACTGTAACAGAAGTATGAACACTCAAACCGATTCATTGAACAGCAGACATCAGATCATCGTACTTTATTCGAAGGGATGAAGAATTACTCTCGACATACTTAGGCCAGTCACCCCTGAAAGTCGGAACGCAAACACTGCTTTGGATTTCCGTTATTGCACTACTTGTTTGTGTATGTATGCAATGTAGAAGAACTTGACGAGTATGGAGAAAATGGGGAAATCTGGTTCAGTTTTATGGGTAATAAGTTTGTGTATGGAATTCTATGTTTGAGAGGCTTCGGTTTAATGCATGTGGCCGTACCAGAAAGGGTTTCTGTGAGCGATCGATAATGCATTGAAGCACCACTATTCGCGGGCAGACGTTTGATGAATTCACTTTGGCTACTCAGGCTGAATGTCAGCATTGCGCTAACCGCCAAAACTGC